TCTTGTAATTGGCGCGTGAATAGGATAATACATAGTGTGGACTAAACATCGCTAAAACGTTATGACGTCATTTCGTCTACGCAAAGTTGATGTACGGAAATGGTTGAAAAATAAAATTATATTAATTATATTTTATTATCATCGGCCAGTCGGCCATCAGAGAAACGTATGCTCGTAAACGCTCGTTTGTTGGATGTATCTTCGATCAACTGAGGATCATATCAGATATTTATATATTATGAATTTTTCGATCATCGGTGATTTTGTTACGTCTTTGGAGTGGGATATTTTTAAATTGTGTAGAGTGCTAATATAGGCTATAATTACCATATGTGGGTACATTTTTATCACAGGTAACTGACGTGGGATGGCATCAGTTTGTAATTAATAATTAGTTTTTTATTCTCATTTTTTCATGAAGTTGAGGGGATCTTGTAGGTAGGTCGCAGCTCAACTGTTTTCCTCTAATAGCGCACTGCATATTTTGTGTGACAGGTTCAAATAAAAGTGCACATAAATAGTGCGAGGTAATTTGTTTAGTACTATTTAAATTTACGCACCGTGGCAGCTGAAGACACCTTATGCACCGTGTCCCGGTTGTTTGAAAACGTCCCTAAAAGATTCCCGCTTTCCATGCGCATGTGGATTAAGTAAGAACAAACCGATGTTCACAATAATTACGATAGAAATGCCCAGCTGCATTGAACAACCCTCCCTAATCTTGGATCATCGCTGCTGGCAGGTGGTAAAGGAATGCTGAAGTATAGACCTCCATATCTAGATGCAAAAGACTATTGCTTCAGGGAGAATGTCGGACTAATTTCTCGCTTTAATCCTTTATAATAATATACAATTCTATAATGGAGGTCATTCTGCTGATAAAAATGGATACTCATTTGTTATTAATGTATAGACGTTTGGCAAAGGGGCAATTTTGGAATAAAAATTGTAGCGTATTACCCATCAGAGAAGAGAGTTGTAGAAATATCCAGTCTGTTGGATCGACAGTCAAGTGTGGTCTTGAAATCACAAATTAGCCTATCCTAAGGTTGGTTCTAAATAGGGGTCTGAGATAATACTTGAGAAATCAACAGTCATCTTACGATTTAAGGAATTTTTATTATATATGTTACTCTTAAAACATACCCATGTTTGGTAGTATCAGAATAGAGGCATGAATTAGTTTGTCAGTATTGGCACGAAATTTCTCAATTAGGCTATGTTTCCAGTAAATATTTTCAATCAAAATTATCTTTTCGTGTGGTCAGATCGGCTGTATTTCTTACCGAAATGAACATTCTTTTTATTCAATCACGAGATATCAATGTCAGGATTATGTAGCGTTCATCGACGTCTGATACAGATAATTATCATTTTCGAGAAAGTGTTCATGCCGAATCTCTTCTCGCTAGATATCGTATTTAATCAAGGATACTATGTACTAACCACTGAAGAAGATGCCAAAGTCGGCCATGTGACTAATCAGTCATTACCTTTCTTTCCCGCTATGTTTCTGAACAAAATTTAAAAGAGTGCAGTTAAAAATTTCCATTTTTGACGAGCATATTTTGCATATTTCTCTCTTGGTTAGAGAAAACTGGGAATACTTAGCATAGAAACCAAAGCAAATTCCGTCCGCGCCTTCCGTAACTATAATATTTCAGTTGATATACACCATACTTCCTCATATTTTGAAGAAATACAAATGCATTGGCTGGTTGGATAGAGTTCGAATATTTAAATAATGTTCAAAACTAAATGAATATTTTTACGAAATGGTTCGGATAGCATTTTCCGTACAATCAAAATTAGATTAATGAAAAATTTTTTTTTTGTTTTCCGATCGTATGGATCGACCGATTCAAACGTTATTTCCTCAGGAAAAGATGATTCACGACGTGGTAAGACTGTGTGATAAAAATCTGTATTGCGTGAAAAGTTATCTTCACAATACTACTATCTTTGTCCCACACCAGACTAAGTTCCTTTATCCAAAAATGAATTGAGCACTTTGTTTTCGGTAACTGGCTGTAAATATTTTTGTAGATTCAAACATTTGTATTCATAACTTGAAAATCAATATCGGCAAGTCGACTAAAAAATTGTATATCTAATAAGATGTTTTTGGTTATAAATTTTTTAGTATGATCATAACATTTTTATTTATATATTCAGTAAATTATCTTACTTTAAAATATACCTCAAAAGATTTGAATATTGTCAACACATTAAAAGAAGATTTCTTCTCTACCGATTGGCTGAAAAAAGACGAAACGAGATATTTCTGCGCCAACAAATCAAACTAACAGGCGCGATGAGTGCGGTCGATATAAATTCGGACGTTCTCGGGAGAACACCACAACCCAGAATATGGATTGGACCAGAAACCTTTACTGAAGGTGAGTAATTTTTTCATTTTTGTATGCAGTTTTTGTAGAAAGACTTTATATAACATATGCTCTAACAGGCAAGCAATGGTACATGTAACGTTCTAGCTAACCTTTTAGATATGAATAAGATAATTCTGTCATCCGCAAATCTGTGGATATTTTCAGTGATAAAATTGCAAATGTTTTGTACTTTCCTATACGGCTTAAAATGTTACTAATATCGTTTAGATTTTCTAGGCAGTGTAATTATATATTTGAGTTTTAGTGTGTGAAGAAGTAATATTTTCCTTTCTCAATTGGGTGATTGATACTAATACTCGTAGGGCGACGAAGCAGAAATGGGTTAAGGCATTACGCTTCATCGACGACACCCAACAAAACCACAAAGTAATAGTAACTTTCACTATTCATTTGTTTTTTTGTCGTCCAGTAATGCTGGTATAATGGTGTGATGGTGTCTAGTCAAATAGCAATTAGGCGATGAACATCCTTCAAGATTTCTGTTTTAGAATTACGTACCATCATCTTCGTGTATTACGATCCAAATTAAACGACTGAATAGTTCTGTAGTTCGATATTAATGAAGGTTAAAATGTAGATTTATCTAACATGTAACCACACAGGATAAAGTTAGACCAATATTCAAGAAGATATGCATTTGTTGCAACAACAATTGTGGGAAAGGCTCAATAGATACGCGCTTGCTTAGCGTTAGATACGAATGCTCATGGTTAATGACTTTATTGACGTTTCCCCGAGCATAGACTTCCTTGTTTATTTTTGTTACATTGTCCAATCAGCAAAAAGGAAAATATGACGTGATAATGACAATTTTTCCAGCCGCTCAAACACTTCGTTTGCTCAGATAGATATTCAAGCATGGTTGTAAACACTGCCTTGCTTTCACGGGTTTGCGTGTTA